GGGTCAGTGTCTAGGTAAGAAAGAGGCCACATAATATAGTAAAACGTAGATAAATTAAATAATAAATACGTAAAAAATCTTATGACTCAACATCAATTAATCAACTGCTCCATTCTCATTAGTCATTCGAAAATTCCTTGTAAAAATTCCCACACAAAACATGGCCAGGATCTCAAAAACAAAGTTACTTGCAAAAAAGCGCAAGCGCAAACATATCAATTCTGAAACAGTTCTCGCTTTAGGCCAGAACCGACGTTACTGTTCGAGAATGGTTATGGAACCATTCCCAAGAAAAACCAAAACACAGAACTTAAAGGTTCGGAACAGTTCTGGCGAAACCAAAACAGCAAATATCTACTGCGCATGCTCCAAAGGTTCTGGAAGAGTTCTAGAACAGTTATGAAAATGAACCAAAACATAGCTAAACACACCTACGGGAGCCATGGAGACCATGCTGGGCGTAACCTCTCTCCACATTCTGCTGGAAAGGGAGACCAGGATGGTCTACTAGAGACTCCTGAAGGTGGGTAGTCAATGCTACCACAATATATCCCCTGTAGTAGTGCATCTCACTTGTTAAAGAGTTGGCACTAAGTTTGCAGCGCTAAAATGCGTATGTGTCTGGCCGCTCAACTCATGGAGCAGAGGAAAAAAACATCTCCCAGACAGACTATGCGTTGTACACGGACGGCTCCAAAACTGAAAAAGGAGTAGGAGCGGGAGTTTTCGGCCAGAGGCCTAGAGTTGACATATCAATAAACCTAGGCTCTCTGGCCACGATCTTCCAAGCAGAAATGATTGCTATAGAATTGGGAGCGAGAGAGTTGATTAATTTTCTCCCCGCAAACAAGACTATAAAGATCTTTTCAGATAGCCAGGCCCCGAGCTCCAATCGAGTTGACTCAAAGCTGGTTTGGAACTGTATAAATACCCTTGAATGTCTCGGTGCTCGGAACAAAGTTACTTTGATCTGGGTTCCGGGGCACAGTAGTGTGGAGGGCAACGTAAAAGCCGACGCGCTTGCTAAAAGAGGAACCGAATCTGTGTTCATAGGACCAGAACCATTTCTAGGCATTGCAAAGAGCACTGCCAAAGAATTATCTCAAAATGGACGGAGGGTGCAACACTCACGAACTGGCGAGATACCCCAGAGCTAACTCATTCCAAGGCGTCTATAACCAACCCTTCTATGAACGCCTCTGCTCAGATCCGAGAATGGTGTAGGAAATATTTACGCATTTTCACTGGACTGATGACAGGACACTGCCGTCTGGGCAACCACATGAGAAGGATAGGTCTGCAACAAATATCGAACTGTCGATTCTGCAGCGTGGAGGACGAGTCTGCAGGGCACATTCTATGTACCTGCCCCGCTCTGGAAAGAACCAGGTTCCAGATCTTCGGATTTAACCGATTGGAGCCTACCGACTTTAAACAAGTCTCGCCCAATTCAACCATGGCCTTCATCAAAAGGTGTGGCTTGTACGGTGAACTATAAGTTAGTCATGAGCCACAATAGACCCATCTGGGTCGCAGTGGAAGACGATGAGATAATCCCACTCATTTTCTACCTATCCTACACACAGTTGACTGTTTTTCACATCGTCAAACAATTTTAATCATTAATGTTGTATATATAGGGTGCGTCAAAACTCAAAATTAGAAATTTTCTCAATTTTTTAAATGGAATACTCTGTATGTTTAATTAATTAATTTCTTTAATTTTATTTTTTTGCATTCGTTATACCAAAACACATTTTTGTGATATCAGGAGAACAGGAAACCATTCATTATTTTTGTAAAATGGATTAACAAAAATTTTTAGATGTTTGTTTTTTTTTTTTTATTTTAATTGTCATAAAGTTTTATCCGTAATTATCTAGATGTTTTAAACTCTCTACTGATGATAATAAGAACATTTTAATGTTTAGAAGAATTAAGTTGAAAATAGGATTGTTTTATTTGTAGAATAATTATAAAAATCAATTAGACCTATCTGTTTGTAGGTTTGTAACAGACCAAGGTTTCTAAAGCCAATTATATTTAGAAAAATGTGAATTTTTGTAGTAAAGTCATCAAACTTATGACAAAAAATCTATTTGGGTATAGGCAAGAAAAGAAAGAAAAAGAAATTATTTATAAATTGGTGGTATAACATACATGGTATTGTATTTTAAAAAAATTGAAAATATCGTAATCTCGCATTTAGGCATACATATACAAATGAATAAAAATAGAAAACACTTTAGAAATCTGTTAAAATTGTTTAACGATGTGAAAATAACCGAATCTGTTAAACATATATTGTTTAGTCTAAAAAGCTATAAGCAGGCCCGACTAGATGGGGGACTAATTCCCGGGGCCCGGGTTCAAATGGGGGCCCGGCAGCGCTATAAGAGGGGTCCGACAATAGGGTTTTCTGTTTGAGCATGAGAAATTCGACATAAGAAGAGAAAGGGTAGGTGATGTGATTGAATGTTAGAGGAAAAGTTTTAGCTTAGAGGGTATTTTTTTCGGGTGATTTTTTTCGGGTGATTTTTTTTTGTTGTTGTAGAAGAAGAAGTACTTGAAGTAGGGAGATTTTTTTTTTGGAGGTAAAACTTTTTTTTTTTTAGAAGAAGAGGTAATTGAGGTAGGGAGAATTATTTTTCGAGGTGAGGACTTTTTTTTTTTAGAAGAAGATGGAAGTAGGGAGAATAGTATATTGTTTCACGAGTGACGAAAAATGATTTTCGACGAGTAAAACACTATACTTTTTCTACGAACTCTATTATGTCATGTAGGTACCTACTAAAATGAAAAAAAAACAAACGTTAGCAAATGCTTTATTTTGAGTTAGGAATAACAAAAAATTAACCAACAATTAAATATTTCAGAAATATTATTTATTATTTAAATATTGATTTATTGTTATATTTGAACAATTGTTCAAAATTATGGGGGTATCACACTCAAGCTTTTTATTTATTGAGGTAGATGCCGACATATTTGTTCTACTGTTAAATGTCATTTCAGATGATGATGCGCCATAATCGGATGAACTAGTAGTTTCCTTATTTTGTACAGATTGTAAAATTTTGGTTTGTATTTGGTTTTTACTGTTCGTGGATTCATCAACATATCCTTCCGCAACACTACTAGATTTCCAACCACCGTGCTTTTTTAACAGAAGCAAGTCACCTCCTGCATCCACTAATAGCGTTGCGGATGTTCTGCGGAAACAGTGCCCAGTGTAATCTTGAGGATTCGGAAGCGTTAAAAACTGAGCAATTTCGTTAGGAAATTTACTGATTTTATTAATTCCAACAACCTGTCTGCTACACTTTCCATTCTGATAGTTAATAAAGAATCTTGAATTAATTTGATCCATGTTTGCGGGACGTAGGCTCATATATTTTTTAGAAATATCATAAAAGGATCCAGAAATATGAAAAGAACGCGGAACTTTTGTTTTTGTATTACGGATTTTAACTAACAGAATACTTCCAGTATCCTTTATATCGCTTATTGTTAAATCTTTTAGTTCGTGGCAACGACAAGCGCCAGATAATCCAAAAACTAATGCTACCTACAAATATTAGTAGTTATGTATTAAGTATTTGTTAAAATAAAAATAATAATTCCGTTACCTTTGTTATTAAATATTTATAGTCAGGTGCATTCTTTAGGAAAGTCTTTATGTCTTCACGCGAAAAAATTTTGGATTTTTGGCTTTTAAAACCATCAGATTTTCTTTTCAAAAGCGAACGTAACTTTGGATATTTACTAATATCGACATCATTTTTAACAGAGAGTGTAGTTCTTAGCATCGAATAAATGGACCATAACGTCGACGGTTTTAAATTTGAACATATTTCTCCAAAGTATGCTAGTAGTACAGTTTCCGAAAATGATTTTACTTTATTTTTTCTCTCCAGTCCAAAAATTTGATATAAATTTCTTCATATCTCTTTTTTGATTTGGCCGGTAATAAATCTGAAGAGGTTTCTTCAGCTTTAAAAATAATTTCTGAGGGAGTACAATCGCTTTCTGACTCAGACATTATGAAAATGTGTTAAATTTAGGACGAACTGAAACTGACAGTTCTCAAAAGTGATAAAACTTCAAATAAACAAATGAAAACCAGGAAACTAGATGTAGATTGGTTTAATTTGCACTATTTTTATACATTTTTATTTTATCTTTAATTCATTAAAGTTTAGGTAAAAACGCATATAGAATTTAATGAGCATCTTTTTATTTCATTATTAATAATTATAAGCTGCCAAAATATTATACGAGGCGACTGATATATGAAAATATGTAACAACTTACTTTCGTCACTAGAGACGAAAGTAAACGTTATTGGATTTTTTCTCACTAGTGACGGAAATCAAGTTTTCGCTGAAAGTATCCTGTGGCGAAAGATGTCTTTTTGTAAGAGTTCGTAGAAAAAATATTATTTCGAGGTGAGGACCTTTTTTTTAGAAGAAGAAGTAATTCAAGTAGTGAGACAATATTTTTCTGAGGGCCTTTTTTTTTAGAAAACGGTTAAGATTTTTGTTGTCCGATGTAGAGAATTATCCCGGGGCCCGGCCTGGCTCTCCGCGGCCCTGGCTATAAGTTTGGTTTGCCCCTCATTTAAAGACTACCCTGTATATTTAAGAATAATTGTAAAATATCCTCTTACAATTACGCACTAATGGGACACCCTGTATATTTATATCCTTCGAGATTAAACAAAAGAGAAATGACCTAGCTACCTCATCTATTAATTCTATTATTTATTCATCCCTTTACTAACGCACACCTCAAGCTGTATATACCGAGAATTTTATTGTGCGTGAGTTCATTTGTTATCCACTACTGAACTGAATCATCGGAAAACAGTGAGATATTTTTTAAATCAATTCCAACTTTAACGGATGTAAAAGATGTCAGCGGTCTATCAAACACTGATAAAAAATTAATGCATATATTATTACTGAAACTGAAAGAACGCTTGTTTTATTTCAGGCGCACACTGTACTTTACAGGGCGTGGATAATGATAAAAAGTCACAACTAAGATCAAACGTACTTAGTGTTTTCAGCCGGGCTTCCGCGAACCCCGCACGATTTATTTTGATCGTCTCCCGCCCCGTGGGGTAAATAACACTATTTTTGAATAGGTATTCGAATGATTAGATTTTACAACTTAACAGTGCGGAGTGGTGTGAAAGTGTAGTTAATAGTTTTTAATAAATGAAAATTAGGATAATTGCTGGTTCTAATTAGTTTTTTTTTTTGACATGGGGTGTGAAATTGAACAAATGTATTTGGATCTTAATTCTTTGCTAGAAGGTATGTAAATCTTTATAATAAATTGTTTTTAAAACAATTGTAGTCTAACTAGATTTTTTATGTTTTATGTTTTTGTAACATTATTTTTTATTAAATTTGATCAAGTATTGTTTTAGAAAAATAAAAATCATTTTTTCCTCACAATCAGTCGTTATAGATATGTACGTACAGGGTGTACCTACCACCGACAACTTAACCCCCAGAAACTTAGAAACAAAGGAGTTTTTCATTATTTAAAAAACATGTCTACTTTTATTGGCAAATTCATATACAGAATTTTAACCCCCTGGGGCCCGGCAACAACCCCTTATTTTTTTAAATAGCAACTCATTATTTAAAAGGTAATTTTATGAAGAATTCAACAATGTGTCAATAAAGTATGACACTTCATTTGAAAGCTAATTTTATTAGTGATTTAATGTGTGGCACAAATTTATAATTTTAGTTTATTGCGAATAAAGTTTTTATTTCTTAACTTTAGAGATCTGCACGATTATTCAATTTTTTATGTGCATGCTTGATTAAATTATGTTTCGTTATATTGCGCAGTAAAAGTTTTTTAAATTTTGAAAAACTTCCAAGGGTGGCAAGTTATATATAAATAAATATCTCCAAAAAAGATAATAAAGACAGAATGAAGAAAAATAAAACATCAGTTTCAACTTTTTCGAAGTTTAATGTGACTTTATTCTTATTCAAAACTTCGATTTTATTGTCATTTAAATTATTTTACACTAGATACCTACGTTAAATAATTATACCAATATCAAAAACTAGCACAGAATAAAAATAGATTCATAATTGCAGCCTATAATTAAAAAAAAAATCTAAAGAATTAGGAACAGCTCACGGTAGAATTTCTATATAAAAATTACGATTTACGATTTTTAAGTTTAAGTTGAGACATTTTAGACGCCTCAGATAAACTCAAAAACTAATAAAGCGATTTTATTAATTTTCCCACGCATTTTCGCTACTACTGTAATACGGACTTACTACCCATTTTACATCATCGAAAGGTATTTTTAAAATTAAAATTTACAGTCTCTATTTAAAATTTTGGACTTGGTATCAAGCAACGCGAAATGAGAAGTTTGTACAAGAAATGGACAACACCTTTCCCTGTTTAAAACCATCCCTTTTTCAAGATCGTCGTTAAAGCCAGTCCAATACTGTAACTAAGCTATATCGAAGATATGCGGCTTTGTCACTGCTTAATTGGACGACTCATCCCACAATTGAAAGGAATTAACAAAAGTTGCTGTTGGTTTATTTTTGTTATTATTCGTCTATTTATTACTTTTATTCGCATCATTTTCTCATCTCGTGAAATACGTACATTATACAGTATGTCGCAAATGAATACATTCATTATTTCGTAACTCGTTGACTTCTGGAAAAATCCTGAAACCCGTTTTGTCAGATATTCCTTTTATTCCTGACGTCATCGGTGTAAGCACCTGTCTCGCATTCGGAAGGTAGTAGGTTCGATCTCCACTGCCGCCTGATCTGCTATATATTTTTTTATATGTTTTGTCCATTGCAATAGGTAAATAATGCTGGGTCAATAAAATCCTCTATGATACCTACCATGATACCTCACACCCCATCCCCTCAGTCTTAGAGCCTTACATTTCGACTGAAAAGGCTCGGAAAGCCAAAAGCCCCTCTCCCAATGGAAAGAATTAAATATATACACATCCTTCACCTTTACTTCTATGGATTTCGAATTTAGAATAAAAAAAATTGACGAATTTCATTTATTAACTACATCTCTTAGAGTTTGCAACTGTCAAGAGACAAAAAGGACAAAGAAGGTGGTAATCAATTGGCGAAATTTCAGAAAAATAAGGCTGTTGAGGGTAACGTTTTCGAGCCAAATTAATTAAATATTTTTTCAGGGTCCTAAATCACTCTTGCGGTATGATTTAGATAAGTTTAGCGTTGTCACTTGGACCGGACATAACAAGTTGAGACATTTGACCCTCTAACATGCTCATCCTGCATGCAATAATTGACTTGATTGCGATTATTCAGCACAGCAAACATGTTATGTTGGGAATGGGGTGTTAATACACTGCGACCTAAAAGATCTATTGTTCTCCCTTCTGTCGCCAATGCACTAAGGAAATGTCTCAATGCCTATAACGACCCTTCCAATCCTATTTTCTCAAGGAAGTGTAGGATTTGAAGTGGCTTCAAGTTAGGTAAAATCTCCCTCTTCTATTTGATATCCTCCTAGATATAGTGCCCTTGGATTCTGGAGTGCTACACATTCAGGCTATAGCCCCGTAAATGATGATTGGTCTCACTATTGCAGTATACATCCATCGCTGTATGTTTGGGTTACATCCCCATCGTTTACCTGTGCAATGTTTCTGCATACCATTAGGGCTTTTGTAGCCTTATTTACTACTTCCTTCTCATGTGTGTTCCAGAGAAGTTTGTTGTCCAGGGTTAGGCCTAGATATTTGACTTCATTTTTCCATTCTATATCTATCCCGTCTAATTTAACGTTTTTGAGATTAAGTTTTCTTTTCCTTGAAAAGGCCTAGTGTTGTTTTTGTAGGGTTCACGGCACCATCTTTTGGTATGTTTTAGTCCTCGACTATATCACGCAGGATATTACTAAACTTGCCACTAGCAAATATGACTATGTCGTCGGCATAACCTTAACAGGGTATGCCGAGGTCAGTCAATCTGCATAGAAGTTCGTCTACGGTTAGGCTCCACATTAGTGGGGCTGGAACTCCTCCTTGTGGACATCCTCTGGTTGTGCAGATGGAGATGGTGTCCTGCCATATCTGTGTCTCTGCAGTTTTCGAGGATAACAGCTGAGCCATCCATTTGGATGTGATGTTATCTACTCCTCCGTATGCAAGTGCTCTTTTTACAGATTCGGGTGGCGTGTTGTTAAAAGCTCCTTCTATGTCTAGGAAGGCACACACGACCGTTTCTTTGTTTGTCAGTGCATCCTGGATTACGTCAGTCAACTGTACCAGCGCAGTTTCTGTAGATCTTCCTGCTCAGTACGCGTGTTGGCTGTGGTGGAATGGCACCCTCTCCAGGAATTCCGTTCTGATATAATTACCAACAGCCGTCTCCATTGTTTTTAATACAAAATATGTGAGGCTGATTGGTCGGAAGGATTTAGAATGTGTGGTATCTTTTTCCCTACTTTTGGAATAAAGGTGACTCTCCATGGCTCTGGTATATATTTCAGCTCCAGACTGCTCCGGGATAGCCGGATTATGTGTGGTAGTAATTCCTCCTGGGCCTGCTGAAACAGGACAGGAAATATTCCATCCACACCTGCAGACTTAAACGGCTCAAAAGTGTTTACGGCCCACTTTAACCGATTTCTGCTGCATATGTGTTTGGCCACTACAACGACCTCTCTTGGGGGCCTGCTTACCTTAGTTGTGTCCCTTATTAGAAAAGGTGTGCTTCCAGGAAAGTGAGTTTCCAGTAAGAGGCGAGCTCTTTCCTCCTCACTCTCCGTGAAGCTTCCATTTGGTTTCTTTAATGCCATAACTGTATCAACTCTCCCTTTTGCCAGGGCCCTGTGCAGTCTCGCTGCCGCAGGTGTAGTGTTAATATCCTCGAAGTATTTTGAGTTATTATTCACTAAATATGATAACATTTGGTACAAACGAAAACACGTCCTTCATTTTAAGACTGATTTAAAAACGAAAGAAAAAGATAGGTATGTCGCTTAAAAATACTTTACCACTGAAAGAGATATATGTATTTTCACCTTGTTTCTTTCAGTTTGTGGAATTTTATGGTTATAATTACATAATCACTTATCTCTCTTCACTACTATATTTTTCAGAATTGTTTTATTTATGTGATATAATTAACTCATTTTGTCTTAAAATATGACTTAGCTCTTTTTACCACCAATACGACGATATGACAATTTATTAGAAGAGGATAAATTATATTTTTATATAAAAAGATTTTACTTTTCCACAACATATTGAATAAAAAAGAGACTGACCTACTTGTTTAACTATTATTAAAGGAAATGATATAGAAGTTAAAAAATATGCTCAAGTTTAAATCATTGCACTTATTTTTAGATACTTTTGTCTTACTTTGTTGTTTTAAATAAAACAAGCCTGTTGATGATAATGGACTACTTGAATCTGATGTTTTGTTTTTTCAATATAGACGTACCATGTACCGAACTGTAGATTCACTTTTTATAAAATTTCAGGCGTTATATATTCTTCTTTAGATAAGTCAGTAGTATTTACTTTTGCTTCTAAAATTCCTAGAATGTCATCAGGTACAAAGGAAACCTAAAATATAATATTTTTAAAATGTATTTTTAGTTAGATTAAGTATATTATACCTCTTTTATAAGTATTTATAAGTAAAATGTAACTGGACATTCGGTTAATTGTTTATCTTCCCGTTCACAACGTTTATCTACACCATTCTTTGTTTTTATAGTAATTTAACTATTTTGTAATTTTGTATAGGTACCTAATGAATGAAATACTTTAAATTTACACCAGGCATTGTAATCTGAAACGAAGAAAATGGTTTAGAAAATAGTTTTCTATTTTATAGAAGAATCCTTACCAATTCTACTCAAATGTATAAAAATTATTTATAAAATAAATAAAATTGAAAAACACCCATCAAAAACATGGAATATGACAAGAAAAAGTGACAAGTGACAATTGACAGAAACATAAACGTTCCTAATTCAAATTAGATGTTCATAGTACTTTTCGTGGATACTTTTTTTAGCAAATTACTTTATTACGTTGTGTTAACATAACAGGTAGGTCAAATAGGGAAGTAACAAATAGAAGCCATTTTAAATATGGCAGTGGCTGTTTAACCACATATCATGTAAAATAGTGCCTGTCTACCAGACCTGTACCTAAAGAATATTCAAATAAATTATGGTCAAAGTTCAAATAATTCTAAAATCTTTCAATTTTAGTAATGACGTATTTTGTGTACCAAAGACAGTGATAGTCTGTCAATGACAACAGTGTGCCAATGACAACATTGTGTCAATGACAGTAAATTTATTATTTATGATTGAGTTTACTGCGTTTAACCACATAATGTCAAATTTGTCAAACATATCTACAGCTAATTCATTTTAGGGTATATAAATGTAATTTATATTGGAATATACTATGTTGTAATATGTTATACAACTCTTGCCTCGCCTAAAGTAATTTATGATTAAACACAAAGTTTGTTTTTGATAGTCCAGTAGGTAGTATGCGAAATTGAAAAAGGTTTTCTGACGATGACAAGTATCCATACAAAGACAAATCTACAATAGGATTTATATTGGCGGTTAAATAGTCACTTCCATGAAATAATTTGAAAAATACAAAATGTGATATTTTATATGAAAAACATATCGAAGACAAATGTAATCATTTTATAGTGCTATATTTTCGATATTTACAATGTTATTTTCTATTAAATAACTTTCGGTTAATAGGTTAGAATTCGTATAATAATCCTTTTTCACGTATATTTCATATATTGTAAAGCCCATCATTTATTACGACCCACCTTGCCCACTTTTAATAGTAATTTGGTGTGTGTTTGGAAATTAAAGAAATAACAAGTGTAACTAAACAAATTAAACATACACTATATACTAATTAATTTCTAATATGGCAGTCTTCCCAACATGTTTACAAAATCATTCTGTCAGAGAGTAAGATAAAACAGAATAAAGCTAAAACAGTTTAAAATTTAGTTCTCTTAAAACTGATTAGTTTTGTAAAGTTTTTATGCCTATCCCACTTATTATCATTATCTTAAAAAATATTTAAAAATGGTTTAATAAAATTCTTAATACTCTGTCTTAAGATATTGTTTTAAAATACTCCTAAGAACCGTTATAGGATTCTCCCTTTTACTCTTAAAGCAGATTTATAACAACCCTAAGGCTATCTCGCGGGTTCAAAAGTTTTATCAGTGTCTTAAAAAAGAGTTTTATGGTTATCTGGTATACTTTAATAAATCTAAAAATGTTACTTGGGTTACCAAGATGACACGATGATTATTTGGCAGCCTTTGCAAAAACATATCATCTGTCAATTTGCCATCTTCTAAATTTTTAATTTCTTTATAGATGACTTTTTCTCATCTAGCTCTAATTTATTTAGAACCCTTTTGGTATTTCTTTCCTTTGATTCCTCAAATAGCTTAAATAACCTATTTATAAGATCCATAAAAAAAGTAGCAGAAAGTGATTTTGAAATTAAATCTCATATCATCCTTGCTGCTATTTTAGAATCTAAGGATCCAAGGACTGATTGGTATCTAGTAACTTCAGTTGTGATATTACCTGTATCAAACCATTACATTCTCCTTCCAAAATGTAGGAAACTGATAGATACTTTGGATATTTCCTTTATAGAGCGGCAGATTGAATTTATTCAATTGCAGTTAAAAATTTTCTTCTCATACTGCAAGTTAGTCTCTTCGTCGATTTGTCGGAATCACCAAGTAAGGAATAGAAAATTATAAAATTAACACCTAAAAGTATACACGTCACGTCAACCAAATCAATTATAATTAAAAAAATAATAAAAAACTTAAGCTTTGACTGCATCGTATGCGATCCGCTACAAGAGCATCTACATCTACATCTAGAATTATTTTTCCTCCTCAAGTTTTTCCTGACCACCCGAACCCACAATCTTTCAAGATCGCTCAAGGGCCATTCAACGTCGATTCAATAAAAAAGAAAATAAGTTATAAAACAATTTAATATGATGTACCTACACTTACTACTTTTCAAAATAAAACTCACATTTGTGTTTATGTTTTCAGATATATGCAAATTTTTGTCCGGGGACAAGTTGGGAAAATTGTCTTATAAGGACCAGAGGTTGGCAGAATCCTTGATCACTAGGTCTAAGAAACAGCTGCAAGATATAGCAAAAATACAACCAACTTTACAGTGCAATGAAGATTATGTCATAATGAACAGTCAAGGTACCAAAACTGACATTTATTTGCACTGAATTTCAGAGTGTTTTGTAAATTTGGTTTGATGCAACCACATAGTTTCGTAATTTTTACTTAATATCATAACCTACTTTAAAAAATAAATCACACTGATAACTAACAAAAAAATAATTTTGTATGTTAGATGGAACGAATTGGAACGAATTGGAACGAATCCAAATTTTATTGTAAATAATTTAATTGCTTGTAACAGTAATATGTTATGCATGCAAGTTTGAACACAAATTGTATATTATAGGAAATAGGGAAGACATTTTTGAGTTACATTTCTCGATGCACTTTAAAAATATATACCTAAACCTAAGTATCTATAGTAGGTATAACTTTAAAATTCGCTCATATTTTTTTCCAAATTCAGCTAGACCAACAGGAGATGTAACTACTAACAAATATCGTGCGGTCCTGAATAAGACATATTCTAAGGGACGCAGGAAGATATAATATCCGCTGCTGTCATATGCCTAATTCATTATTCTCGTTTTGTTTACAACATAATATATTAAAAAAAGCTAAAATAATTCAATCTATTTTATTGCAACTGAACCCAAAAATTTTTGCATCATTAGTTATATTAAATTTAAATAAATTAGATGTAATTTCACTAAATTAGATGTAATAATTTTCAATAAATTCCAAAACCTAGTCATCTTAGGTTGAAAGTGGCAACAGGGCTTACACCGGCATGGATATTTACGTTGTTTATTATAAGCGCACAGCAACATTTATTTATTTATACACAAAGTTATATCTGCGTAAAATTCTTCTCTTTCTCCCCTCTCTTACTTCTCACCTTTCGTCTCCTCGTCGCGTCCCTACAAATAGAGCGTATTGATTCTCGAATTAATCTTGGCGTCGTGAATATTATATTTTATTAATGAATGGTTATATCTCTGTTATCTCTGGCTGGACACCAGCTGAATTTGCTTATTTAGATTTCATTTTCATGTCTAATAATAAAAACAAACCAGGAAAATTCCATGTTTCATTTTTCTTTAGTCGCTAAGGTAAATTTAAATAAAGTTAACTTATTTTGATTCCTAAAATCCATATTTATTGTGTTGCTACTGAGAAACGAAGAATGTTTAATAATAACTAAGCTACTAAGCATGTGTGTGTATATTTTCTATATTTTAGTATTTGTTTAATCAACGAGTTAAAATCAAATGATAAACTTAAATTTCTTGACACTTCTGAAAAAGGTACACATCTAGTTTTAGTAAAGGATGAAGAAGAAAAAAGTGATATTTATTCTTCTGTAGATGATGTCAATTTAAAACCGGAATCTCCAATTATAGAGGAAGAGAAGCCAAACCCATACTCAGGTAACATTTTTTTCTTAATTTGAATCAGTAAATTTTTCAAACCATATAATTTCATATTTTAAATAAATTATCCATTGAACGATGCTAATGAACCTTCTATTTATTTGCTACAATCAATTTATGGAGCAGGGATAAGCTGCTTGGCGAGAGTAGCGACATTGGTAACAGAGCATTTCCATGCATGAGTTGTCAATATAAAAAAGATTTACGCTTGTGACTAAGTTTTAAGACCAATTTGCAATTTAAGCCTTAAATACATAACTTGGGAGACACTGCAATGTCTTTCTTGTAACTAGAACAATTTCGGATCATATAAGATCAAGAGAATCTTCTTGGAAAGGCCATGCATAAAACTGGGAAACATTTCAATGCCTTCCTTATAGATATAACAGTTTCGGATTATATCAGATCAAGAGGCTATTCTTGGAGAGATTATGCATAAAATTGGGAGACATAACAATTTCAGATCAAATCAGATCAAGAAGAAAACGTTTGTAAGTACCTATTAGTAATATAACAATATTTATTTTTCAGATTTGCCTGCTAAATACGCATCACAAAGTGTAAAATATGGAATAATGTCGATGAAGAGAAGATTTTTATTAGGTTTTGAAGTAATGAAAAGAATTTACGCAAGTATACACAAAGGCTGGTTACTTATCTACACTTCCGAAAGAGATATGAAACCGTTATTCGCCTTTGACCTAAAAAAATTTGAAGCCAAAGAACCCGAAGGAGAGGAAAAAAGTAATTTTGAACTGATTAGTACCATAAGTGAAAAAAAAGTGTACCAAGTAAGGAAAAAACCCACTGTTTGGCACAGAAAATACAGACAATATCTATAATCTTTACTACTTATATCATGTATATTAACCTATTAATGTTCTTTATTTCTATTTATATTATTTTTAGTTTTTAGCACTAACTCATAAAGATATGTTACAATGGACGGTACAGATTAATAGATACCAAGGCAAGATAATAAGAGGAAAAAGTATTGATGATTTGATCATTTCAGACACAATTTCTGAAATAAAATACAGTAACGATGAATTAGACAGCTGCAGTGATGACGAAGACCGTATATACGAAGAACTAGTAACGTGAGTATCCAATAAGTATATTTTCACATAAACTAATAATTTTATATTAATATAAGAAAAAATTCCATTGTGACGGTCACCTATATCGTTGCTAATGGAGTGGAATAAATTATCGAAAATGTAAAAAAATAAGTCATAATAGATATCGTGGCACGTCAGTTTCCAAGTAGAGATCGTTGCTAGGTACCTAATGACCCAAACAATATAAACTAACAATATCAACCTTGCGGGTTAAAGAAAATCCGTCTCGTATAAAGGCAAAAAATTTGCTATAGTCGTTCATTATCTGTTTCGCAACCAAAACATATTTGCGACAGTGATCACGTCCAATATAAAACGACCAATTTTCTAGTTTCAAAATGAATATTGAGCAAGTAGCAGCTTTCTAACATTTTTCTGTCGTGGGTGCGTTACCTTTCATTTAACAAGATGCGCCTTGTTGGTCGCGGCGTTTTACTAGTCGTCTGTACGTCGAGAAGGTTTTCCTTGGCCGTTGCGACCTCTTGGTCGTGGTCGGTAGTGCGTTATGTATAATTAACATGAATGGTTCTAGAGGTCGCGACGGATTTGAGGCTGGATGATGGTATGACACTTGAATAAGTATTGGGTTTCATCAGATTCGGAATCTTGATTGAATCGATAGAGTGCCCCACTATGCATAAAAACGTTAAATTAATGAGAACTTTACATCACATTGTTACATTGTAACTCTCATTTTTACTCTTGTTTTCATCTGTAGGATGGACTCATAACCGTCTAAGCCCAGAGTAGGGACGTTTACTTTTGTGATGAAACAATGTAGACGTTGCGGTGATATTACAGGGCTACCTTGTTACGATATTCAACGTTATTGGAAGTTCCCAAAAATGATGTCTTTTTAACAAACCAGATGTGACATTCTTGTTATATCCAAGAAAGTATTTTTACTTCTTGTAGATGTTATTATAAAAGCCCATAAAATAAAAAAATATTAATGAACCAAATGTGACGTTCCAAATACGATACAGTTCATACATTTTTATTTTTATCTTTTAAATTTTATATGGACCATGTTATATAAATATTTTATATTTCATCTATATAAAACAGAATAAAAATAAAGTTGAAGTTAAAAGCTTAGAAGACAAGTTAGAGTTCTAATTTCTAATTCCAGAAAATTTTACAGAAAAAGTATGATAATACAATGGTCTAAATTAATATCAACGGTAAAAGTAAGAAATTTGATGAAAAACTTAATACTGGGCAACAGACTGCTCCATAATATACGGTACTACTGGTTACGTTAGTAGCAAGCGATCATTGGTATCTCCATCTATGAACGCGGGACGAACTGTCAGGTCTGCCAGGTCTGCGATGTAAAGATGTGTAACGTGTACACACTACTGTGCTGACCTGTATGCGATATTATTGTGATTTATAAAAATTAACATCGTATAAATGTTTGTCACAGGAAGTAACTAAAAAGAAGTACAAAAGATGTTGATGTAACTGCTAATTCAAGTATTGCAGCGTACATAAAACTTCTTTTGTAGATAATTCGAGGAATGTTAATGAATATGATGTTAAACTTTAAACATATATGTGATACTTTATTATCGTTTCAAAAATATATCAAGAAAAGTCTCTATGAGAAACGTTACAAAAAAGACTGTTAATGTTTCATGTTTAGTGGGCACCTTAATTCTGTCGGTGAGTATATGGTAGTCAAACTCTTTAAACAGCTTCAAAGCAATCAATAATTAAATTTGTATGCTTTAATGGTTCCTCTCTAGTATACTGTTTGTTGACTATTGGTTCAGAAAATGGCGATATCATTTATTACCGGCTATGCTGCGTTTAGCACAACTATCAACATACGTATGTACAGCCCTGGAGACCTAAAATGGTTATTTAGAGTAGGGCACTTGTGTTGTTACTGTTTGCGTCGGCAAGTAAAAGCTCTATGTTATGTTGAGAATGGGGTGTTAATACACTGCGACCTGAAAGATCTATTGTGCCCCCTTCTGTCGCCACTGTACTAAGGAAATGTCTCAATGCCTATAGCGACCCTTCCAATCCTATTTTCTCAAGGAAGTGTAGGATTTGAAGTGGCTTCAAGTTAGGTAAATCTCCCTCTTTTATTTGATATGCCGAGATCAGTCAATCTGCATAGAAGTTCGTCTACGATTAGGCTCCACATTAGTGGGGATACAACTCCTCCTTGTGGACATCCTCTGGTTGTGCAGATGGAGATGGTGTCCTGCCCTATCTGTGTCTCTGCAGTTCTCGTAGATAACAGCTGAGCCATCCATCTGGATGTGATGTTATCTACTCCTCTAAGTAAACGCTCTAAGAAAGAGGCGCCTGGGACAAAAGATGCTGCCTGTGCAGTATTTCTACAATTAGGGCAGTTTGAAAATTGAAAACATTTGCTTCATTGGTGCACGTGGTTTAGCGATGTGAGATATTTTCTGCACAACACGCACCGCACGTTGCATGTTTGATGTATCATCGGTGGACGTTCCGCCTAAACGTACCATTTGGGAACGCGAGACCGAGGCAGATGGCAGAAGCAAGCGACCGAAATCCGTCTCTTTACGTCTGAATCACATGTAATTAAATGAAGCACATTTAAGGCAGAGCGACCGATGCAAGAAACCGTGACAGCACTTTCAAAACGAAACGTAAGTACATCGGTAGCTAACCTTTGCCTCCTGCCTCAATCTCGCGTTCCCAAATGGTACTTTAGGGTACTAAATATAGTGAAGTGGTGAAGGTAGAGGCACACGACGAGATAAGCGGGCAATTGTTATATCGTACTATATTTTAAATTGATACGTACATATTAGATCTTTTCCTTTGCATCGAAAGTGTAGCACTGATCTACACCACTTCTGAAAATATCGTTCCGTTTATACAAATTGCAGTTTTCTGTTTTAGAGTTGGGTATAAAACACATTACTATTTTGTAGAAACTGGAACAAAATAAAATATAAACATAACCTCAAAAACAATAGTAAATGTTTTACCTGGAGCTTGGAGACGTGTTTCGTTAATAATCATTGAATTAACACACATACTTCCGATTTATTAAATTCGTAGTTTTATTTAAACACTGTTTTTAAATAAACACAATTAAAATTGTCGTATAGTGAATTTTAGAGTTTGACAGCTTGATTGGAAACATCAAACAATATTTTCGATATGACAAGTGAACGCACTTTGAGTAGTATTTTGATTAATTTACCGTTAATACTTTTATATTTGAAGATTGACTGAATGAAAATGTTTTTATATCATTTGTCATGCTATTTTAAAAAAATGGTATTTATTCTCACTAACTCCACTTGCTCGAGTTTGACATATAACGTAAAACTGTGCGGACACTTTTAGTATCGTTATAGCATCTCCTCTTTATTTTATATCAATGATTGGAAAGTTCGTATGCCCCGCCCTACTTTGTGACGTCATTGTGTGCGTTGCGCAAATTAAGCTGAGTTAAGTGATTTTTTGTTTGTTTCACGGATCTGTTAATGTGTGACATCTCTTTTTAGCTAAAGACTTTCGAGAACATTTCTCACTTTTTATGTTATTTATTTTAAAATAATGTGTTTTTATGAAATGTAACTGGGTGTTCACTGCACAAATGAAAGGAGGACAATATTATATGTTTGTTCATATCAAAAAGTGTCCACCAAATTGTATAAAATTATAATGGCGCTCGTGTACTAGAAGGAAAAAATCAATGATATCTAATTGTATAGATTGGTCATCCATATGTAAATCAGACGACGAAAAGCAAGGCGCCATTTAAAGGCATTGTGGCACGCAGGCAACCAGTAAAGCAGTTTTGTGAATGGAATTGTCAAGGGATGCGCAAAAGATTACTTTGCAGCACAAAGAAAAAAATTAATTATGTCTTTTTGTTAGTTCTTATTTCTTATATTGTTTTTTTTTATTATGTTTGAGTACTTGTTTTTTGAAACAACCACAACCCAGCAAGTTTATTACAATATCGTCTTGTTGGTGTAATCGAAATTGCGTATCTTTACATTAAATCACGTTAAGTATATTTTTTCTTTTTCTGACTTCTTCAGGGTGTTTCACAACTTATCCGAAAAATTTTATCCACATATACAGTGTTACATAAGAAGTCGATTACACAAAAAAAAATCTGATATGTCGAACACATGACTTTCCTATCTAGTTATTATAGGCTTTTTCCGGTTATTTTGTACAACCTATTGCATGCAGCACCTCTATAAAGGATAAACAAAAAATATACATATTCCACACACATCTACCTCAAAACATTTTTCTATAGATATTCATTGAAAACGCAAATACTGAAAAATTTAAATTTAGCACTTTCCCTACAATTTTTCCATTACGGTCCATTTTAGAAAAATCATGTATAAACAAAAATTATAGAGATCGATATCGCAAACAACTTTTAGTTCAACAATTTTCATAAAAATCAGAATTTTGCACATTTTGTCAAATTTCTCGAATACGGACAATTTCAGGAAATTTTGACATAAAGCAAAAATTATAGATAATAATATTAGAAGTAACTTTTATTTGAAACATTTTCTTTGTCCAAAATCTAATCAGTTCATTGGACGCTGGAATAAAGTTTAAGTTTAAAATTTGGTGTTTTACACACACACACACACATACATACACACATACCCACACCCACACCCACACCCACACGCGCACTCGCACACGCACACGCGCACGCACGCACGCACACACGCACACACACACTCACACACGCACGCACGCACACACACACACACGCACGCACACACACGCACGCACACACGCACGCACGCACGCACACACACACGCACGCACGCACGCACGTACGCGCACAGACACGCACGCACACACGCACGCACGCACGCCCCCACACGCACACACCCCTACACCCACACGCACACACCCCCACACCCACACGCAAACACACACACACACACACACACACACACACACACACACACACACACACACACACACACACACACACACACGCACACGCACGCACGCACGCACGCACGCCCCCACACGCACGCACGCCCCCACACGCACGCACGCCCCCACACGCACGCACGCCCCCACACGCACACACCCCTACACCCACACGCACACACCCCCACACCCACACGCAAACACACACACACACACACACACACATATCATCGCGAAAATAGTCAAAACGGATTCAGGAGACCTCAAAACGTAAAAATCCGTCGAATACTCGAGGTCGAAAAAAAATCATGATTCCTATACTTTCCTTATATCTGTATACAGATAGGAAAGTAAAAATGTAATAATAGTACAACATAAATGGAGATAAAAATAAAATTTATATCACTTTTTTTTTAAAAGCTGTTCGAAATGGGCTCCAATGGCTTTCGTTTTGCTTAGGTTTTTGCTACATTTATCTTTCAATTTTATTTTATTGTTTTACACCTTATCTGACAAGCTTTAACTACAAATACACGAACTTTTTTTTTACCTCGTTTTCTGTTGTACTTTTATTTTTTTGTGTATAGCAGGGGCAGAAGTTGGAAAGGCTCTTGCCAGTTCTCCCACTTGATACACATAAATTGACAGGTTCGCGGCGGATCTAACCGAAGTGTCGTTTGCGAGCGGCCATATTGCCTGGTAAATATTTATTAATTTGAATCGGTTCAGCAAAAATGTGTTTTAAAACCGATTTTCAGCCTTTGAATATTTAAAAAAAGATAATTGCTTACATTTTTACTTCCAGACATAAGCTTATGTTTATTTTTAAAACCGTGGATGATCAATCTATATAACTGTCTATAGCATTGACCCTGTTCAAATCACCAGGCTTACAGTGTTGCCATCACATACTTTGATTTTCTTTTACTATACGGAGAATGGTCGCACTGCGCAGCTTTCTGAGTGCCTTTTAAAAGGAGATAGAAAACTCCGCCATTTTGAACCCTTATTACGTGTTGCCTACATCTTGGCGCAATATTTTTAATAGGTGCGTTTTAATCATCCGCTTCTGCTTCGGAATTGTCGGTTTTCTTGTTTTAATCTGACAGGTTAAAACGACTAAACCGACAATTCCGGAAGCAGAAGCGGATGATTAAAACGCACCTGATATTTTGCTTGCTGCTGTCAGTGTCAGTGAATATTATTTTTGAAGTCACAGTTTATTGCTAGAGAATCAGTTAGCTCACTCGGACCAGTTGAAAGTTCCAAAATAACATCCACTTCAGGGATACAAATTCAGGATACGCAGAAGACTGCTGTTTTATTATAGGCGGTTGTCATATATTGTATTATCCGAGTTGCACAGTGTATAAACTGAAACATTGAGATCCAAAGTGCCGACGCAGAGTGAGCGATCTGATTCTTTAGCTGTAAACTGTGTCACAGGGTTCAAAATGGCCGCGCCCTATGTTGGGCGTGTCGGACCTCTCTCTTGCCTCGTATAGTAATCAAAGTATGTGGTTGCCATATTATAACATGTCATGTGTCTGTCAGTGGCCTGTCATTTCAAACGGCTAGCCATTTTGTTTGGAATGCCTAATTATAATCAGTGCCGACGAGAGAAGGGGGGTAGCCGGGACAAATTCCCGGGCCCCGGCAGAGACACAAGGGGGACCCCGGCAGCTTAGGCGAGGACGTCTAATTTTTTTTAGAAGTTCGCCACAAAAGGAAGGAGCGCTGGTTTATGTAAAATACAGGATGAGGACTTTTTTTTAGAAATGTGATATTGAAATGGCTTAATATTTTTTATAAAATTGTCGCGGGGCCTCACCTGGAAAATTGTCCCGGGGCCCCATCTGGCTCTCGGCGGACCTGATTACATACTGTTGAAAATTGAAAAAAAAAAAATACAAAATAACAGTTTGATCCGCTCTATTCAACATTTTGGATCACTATTCTAAACAAGACAAAAACTTACTTGAGAAAAGGCGTTATTTTTGTAGATTATCAGCATTATCAGCACGAATGTTTGTACGGGTAAAACTTAATCGAAAAAGTGCGAAAACTGTTGAAAAGTTCACTCATGTATTTAAATAAATGTCTTCACTCAGCTATGGCACCTACGTTACGGCAAAAGCGCGCTGCGCGCTTAGTACTCGTTCGATGGTCGCAGCAGAGACATGCTGCAGCTGCAAGCGGCCGAGTCAAAATACAAAAACACTACCGTTCTAATTAAATTAAATGAGACGAAACACTTATTAAGCTAGCTGCTGCTGTTTCGTGCATTGAACAGCACATCATTTAATTTCATTAGAGGTGAAATTACAGAAAATGCACCACGTCTGAAACTTTGCAGATCTGTAAAGTTGAAGACGTTGGTGTTTATGCCGGTCGGCGTAGCCAGGTATGGATTGAAATTTTCTACGAGAAGTCTCTGCTTCGTCTTCTTGTTGTCACGGCATTATTATTATTTGTTCATGTATGTGAAATTTGCTTCTAAGGTTTATAAAATACTACAGAAAAATACTTAAGTCTTCCACTCCATCATCTGAAACACGACTCATTCACACAAACACCTTCCACCACAGCAATTACAAATCATTAGTGTTGTCCCCGATACGCGAGTCCCTAGAACGGTAAATGTCTCTGCATCTTGTCTGGGCCACTTGCAGCTGCAGCATGTTTTGCAGCGACCTTCGAACAAGTACTTTAACCGTTGGACAATCGATAACCGATCGAAGTCGAAGCGAAATTTTAGGTTATGGTTATAAAATTTAACTACAAAATTTCTAAGGGATAAAACGGATGTTCGCTAACACACAAAACACTGTTTAATTACGGCCACCATGGAGGAAGGATAATTAACGGCCACTAAGTTGGGACGTCAATTATATGGTGGGGTTTGGGTTTTCTACGTGAATAAAGATGGTGTATTACGGGATTCGGCGGCTTCAGTTATGCAGTTTAGGTATCGTGATGAAAATGGCACTGAATAACACTTTAATTAGTAACACCGTTGCACAATACTACAAACGTAATATTAAATATTTGGAAAATAACACACCGAGAAACGTAGGGTGAATAATATTAATGTAAATTTAAAAAATTGTAAATAAACACTAATCGTTAGTTCATTAGTAGCGTTAACGATTCTCTTACTCTATCTCTCTCTATTCTACTTGACGGTAGGTGGCGCATCTGTGTAGTACTGCACAGGGGCGGCTCGAAGAGTATGCGGATTACAGAATCAAGGCGAATAGGTGAATAAAATATACAGAAAAAAAAAATTGTGGCCTAAAAATGTCACTTTTCCTGCAAACTTATGTCATATTTCAATTATTGCAAAAAAATACAAAGTTTACGAACGTAAAACTATACAAAAAAACGTGTTTAGAAACTGTATGGTTGTAGAAAAATTATGTTATCAGACTTTTGCCTACCTTCAAGGTGGTGTTCGGGTATATTTTAACCATCAGTGCTCATACTGTCATCTTTTAATATTCTTCAAATTTTTTCAGTCTTTTCAGAACTGTTGTGTGGGCACCCCCAGACAGCACACCAAATCCTTTGGATATCTACTGAACATCCCAATATCCACTGAATGTCCAGTCCATGGTGGATATCTATTTTATATCCATGAAATGTAATTTATAGACATGCAAATGTCCATAAATAATTGTAATTATATAGCAAATTATTAAAAAATTACGCCATTGTACTCGCCATTGTGGCTAATAGTACCGTTGAGATATTTAAAATTAATTTTTTTAAGGTGTATTCAATATCCCATGGACATCCACTATAAATATAAATATATCAAAGTATAAGCGCGGACGCAAACCATCGTGGATATCTACTAGATGTAATTTTTGATTTTGCTTCCTAAGTATAGATGGCGATACCACTTTCGTATCTACTCATGCTTAACCCGCCGTAATTGAGTTTGATCGACATTGTTTTACAAACAGACTTTATTAGAGACTGAAGTCGAGAAGTTCCATTTATTGCTGAAGATTCCTAATAAGGATGATTTTCTCCTTAGTAGGCAAAATCAAAGGCAGATTGTTGGGAATATTTTTTACCTCTATTTTCTTTCGACGTTATTCAATAACCATTGGTTACTTATGAACCTCTACTAAAAATAGTTATAAAATATTTATCTGAATTTCTATATCCTGGGATATAGACGGACATTTGGTTGGATATCCACAAAATATATTCTATGGATATATCTGGGATTTCTGGTATTGTCTGGAGATACTCATTAGATATTTTGCTGAATATTCATAGGATATCTTCTATATTCTGGATATAGACGGACATTTGGATATCCATATTAGTTCCACGGAATATTTCTGATATCCTGTGGATATATTGGATATCCACAAAATATATTCTGTGGATATCTCTGGGATTTGGTGTGTTGTCTGGGCCTATAAATCAAAATTGATAAACACAACAATCTTTTATTATTTATTCCTTATTTTCTATGGTAAGATAAATTAACAATAATGCTTTTCATTTTCAGTGTAAAAACGCCAAAAAAGAAAGCAGAACAAAACACATCACCAAAAAACGTGATAAAAAGGCCACCCCTACCTCCATCTCGTATATCGTCGAACAAAATCAAAGGACCTATTAAAGTACCTCCACCAGTTGTAAAACAAATATCAGTCTCAACAACCAATTCATCGGATGGTTCCTTGGCTTCGTATCATGAAATTCACACAACACAGTTGGATTCTAGAGATATGATCAAATCTAATAGCAATTCAACTAAAAGTTTTGATGATTCGTTTTCAGATGATAGCACTGACTCCACTTATGAAACTTTCGCAAATGTTCAGAAATGTATGGCCTCGAATCAAAGTGAAAGTTTTTGTAGCCAGGAGAATGAAAAGAGAGGATCTTTTCTGCCAGTTAAAAAGAAAAGCTCTTACTGATGTATAAAACTTATTACCTACATATGGCACTTTCAAATGGTTTAAATTTATTTATATATGAAATGATCCACAAAAAATATTTTTAAGTATGCTTTGGAAAAATTCACTTGTGCCAGTTTGGATTTAATTCAGAAGCGCGCGTTGTTATCACGGATATGACTCGTATCACTGGCCTACTTTAGAAACATTTTTTGTAGATCACTCTTTATAATTGTCGATCTTAGAAATACTATAATACGTTTCGCTAATAATACCAGGGTATTATACTGGTACGCATTTATAAAAAAGTTTTCCCAAAATATTTAAACCATATTTGTACATAAACAGCTGTTATTATTTTTATTATTATTAAACATAAACGTGTATGTTATGTAAATAAAATCCAACACACTTTAGCACAAAAATCCCCACAAAAATAATTTTAATTATGATTCTTAATTAAGAGGAAAATTTACATTACAAACTGAAAGACCTGCGGGGCAACGGTAGTTTAGTAGGTATAAAAATTACAACTTTAGGGTGGAGCCTAAATACTACAAAATTACTTCCGAGACTAAACAAAATCCGCATTCATTCATAATTTTAACAATTGCCTGTAGATACGAGGGATACGTATTTCAAGCTCTAACGCGCGAAATTAAGAAAAAAGAACCGAAAACACCTAACACGGCTGCCGAGTGAGTCAGAGTTACCTAAATTAGGGGAACCAGAATCGTATTTGTTTTTCTCGGTGCATTGCGAGATATTGTTATAACGCAGTTCGATTTTTAGAGGGTTTTACATTATTTTAATATTTTAATTTAGTGAATAGGTTTAGTTAGATTAAATTACATTTGAGAGTATAGAGTTGTGAAATATAAATACAAATAACGAAAAAATAGACGATTGGTTCGAATAAGGTAATATCAATTAATACAGGGTATTTATTAATTGAGTGCCGATACTTAGAGGTGTGAATCCTTTGGATGTTAAAGTTTTAAGAAAAAAAAAACTATTTTATCATAAGTTTCTTATCACTCTAGATATTTTTATGAAATTTTGTCCAAAAAAAGTGTTTCCACTCATGGTGGGTTCCTACCAAATTTCAACAAAATATCAAAAGCAGTTTCAATATACTGGTTTTTATTTTCTTACCCGAAAAGGGTGCTTTGTACGAAAGTACGTCATGAACCAAATTTGCTCCAAAATAAATAAGGATTTTAAAGATAATTTGGTATTTAGAAAAAGCAGTGGCGCACCATATTTTTGTTCAAAAATATTCAGTTCAAACCCGGTACGGACGTCACTGGTAAAAATTTAAAAGTCTTTTACGACAAAAGGTGAGATTGAAAGTGAAAGTTTAGTCTGTTATATATATATACTATATTTATATATCTAACTTTTATTATTACACTGAATGTGATATGGCTTTTTTGTTTGCCTTCTTTGGATCAAAAAAATATTATTTTAATGATTTAAAATAAACTGCCAGTAATAATAATTATCTGTACTTAAACATATGCAAAGTGAAATCATAAAACGACGCATCAAGAAAGCACCAAATTATTAAACTTTTTATTTACGTAAGATGTATTAAAAGAAATTTAAAAAAACCGACTTTAAAATCGTGCAGATGCCATCACCACATCTGAACCAAATTTATATGGGACCACCCCTGAGGTACCCCCTTACTAAAGAAAAGCATTATAGAAATCGGACAAGGTGGTAAAGAATTATCGCTAAACATACATAAAAAATGAAAAGTTTGAGGATTTTCCCATTGACCCAATTATTAGATTTTGACCAAATTTTTAAGGGACCATCCCGGAAGTACCCCCTTTCCAGCAAAAAAGAATCATTTAAATCGGACATTGTGTTAAAGAATTATCGCTGAACATACTTAAAAAAAATATATACAGACGAATTGAGAACCTCCTCCTATTTGAAGTAGGTTAAAAAGGATATAATAATCTATATTATTTGTATTAACTAAAAAACTACTATGTGGAGTTATATACATCTTCTTAAATTAATCTTATATGTAAAAATGTGGGTTCGATTCCTAAAAGAGTACCTAGTTCACTGTGCAGCCAAATTTATATTTATGGTACAGAATTTTTTGAATAAATAAAGTTTTAGGTTTAATTAAACACCAAGTTTTATCAGGAATAACGTTTTCTGAAAAAAGTAACATAAAAAGCAGACTTTTTGCGAGCCACTATATATATTTTAGAGGACAATCCATATTATTTTAGAAAAATAAATAAAATTTTTGTACAAACACATAAATGTGATTTATCTTTTAGAATATTTTATATGTTTGTCAAAGTTTACTAATGTAAAAAAAAAAAGAAATATTCTTCAAAATTTTTCTTAAATTTTTTAACACGGTACAAAATACCTTAATCCGTTTATAGTTATCGAAATTAGTAAAGAATTTTAACTCGTTTAAAAAGCGTTCTTTCTCTTTCCATTTCCTAGAAAAACTAATAGACCTTTTTGAAATCGGTATTCGGTGACTTTTCTTCTGTTTTATTGCCTTGAAAATGATATGATTTACATAAAAAACAAAAACTGACTTATTATTTTTGTGAAATAAAAATATGTTGTTATTTTCACAATTTTCGACTACTTTTTATTTCCAAAAAAGAAATACGATGTTCTTCTGTAGATATTAATACATTGTTTAATTGGCTTTTTATTTTTTTTTATTTTTTAATATTCTTTAGTATTTTCATAATTTGGGAAACAGTATAGCATTGAAACTTCTATACCTGAAAAATTGTGAGTACGCTTTTAATTAATTGTCTGTTTTTTATCTCACAATGTCTCGATAAGAAGTTATATAGAAAAAGTTAGTATTCAATATCATCTAGACAAAAAACAAAAACATGTTTAAATGAATATATTAAATAAATTATGAGTATTCTTTAACAGAGATATATTTATTTGTATTATGGAAATGTTTATGTCGACAAACTTATGTTCGATATTTGTATCAATTTGTAAAAATAACTCTTGTATAATGATAATATTAAATTTAAAGGTTTTAAATAAGGACTTGCAGATATCACAATTCGAAATTTTTTTTATTGGCCATAAAACTTTTTTTGGAATGAAAGCATTAGTTTCTGTTTTTCACTTAAGCTCCATAAATTCATATTTTAATCTGAACGCTACTTAAGCACAGTAAAGTTGCAACAACTAAACAATATAGTGAACTTTTCGAAAATTTTTAAATGAAAATCAATTTATATTTAAAATTAAATAAGTTAACTAACATTTTTGACCGTTATGAAGTTAATAAAGTTATAAATAACGTCGTTACAAAGATTTATGTTTGAATTTTAAATTTCTATTGATAATAGTTACTCATCTACGTATTACAATAACAATACCTACATGACTTGGCTTTGACACAAAACCCTGTATAGTAAAACTTCTAATCCGAATCAAAATCTTGAAACTATTATTTGGGGACTTAAAATCGTGGTCCACTAGTTGGTGTAGCCTTTTAAAACATTTGGTATAATAATAATAATAATTATATATCATCAATTACCGCTGCCACTGGTAAAATCTTAAATTTAAAATAGTGTATTATAATAATAAGACATTAATCATATCTTAAATGGATCGCCTACTACCATGTTTTAGAAATAAATAAAATTTAATTCTTAAATTAATAAAAATATTCAAAATAATATAAGATTCCTTGCGTTATGTTAATAAACATTAAACAAAATTTCTCACGAATTATTTAATATTCTGTCCCGTACTTCCATGTCTCTATTGCTTCGCTGTCAACAAGTTCCGGCAAGACATATTGCATATAAAAAATTTTAATTTTATTTTGTATCTTTTCTTCTCAAAAGCTGTCAATATGAGATATTTTCTCCACTTTTATTCCTCCAGAAGTCCAAAAGCACAAAATGCAAAAATCCATTTGTGTTATGTGCAGCTAGCCCTGAATTTGAAAATACCAATAGTGGTTGTCCTTAATGGAATTGTTCTTTTTCCAAAAAGTTATTTCTCTACTGCATATTTCTTCTTCTACAGTCAGCCCTTCAGCTCTATATGGACATTTTAACTCTATCATAGAGTTTTGTTTTTTTTTTAATTCCATTCAGACTGGCAGCAACATAATCAAATTCGAATTCAATAAAATGTCCACATTTAAAAACTTTTACATGCAAATAAATTTCCAAATCTTATTTTGCTCTGAATTTATGCTCCATGCCATATCGGGTGGCGTTAGAAATAAATTAAAGATTTTAGGAGATTTTTTACAAATTTTTCAAAATTTTAAAGCAGTGGAAACGAGTCTTTTATTGTACCACAATGCACAATCAGCTTGTTACAATCGTTTTTCTCTCATTTATAAACATTGGCTAACTTTTTAGAAAATTTTCTCTTGCAACGCGCCTCAAAGGGTGCGACAGATCAAAGCCATGCGCGAAAGCAAAAAAAATATTTACATTACTTTAACGGATTGAAGAGATATTAACATGCTGGAATTAATAATTATTTTTGACTCGAAGAAGTATTCATTAAACAAAAACATATAATTCACATCTCAGTGTATACCTTCCAATTTCGTATATATATATTTTTTAATAAATAAATGATAAAATTAATTTAATATAATTGAGCGAAATTACTGTGTGTAAAAAATAACAACATTAATTCAAATCACTTACGTAATGTTTATCACTAAAGAGTAGAAAAAGATATATATTTTGTTGGTATCACCTTCTAGACGAAAAAGCTTTTAACGTATATCTATTTTTATTGTAATAAAAATAAATGCTCCTGTAGGCAAAAATTAAATATATTTTTCTCTTCTAGCATTTTTCAACATTTCTATTTCTTTTCGTTTCTTTTCTTAGATTTTTTCAAAATCCGGAGAGGTATGGATTAAGCCTTTACCTGTACTTACATAAAATTTCTTTTAGTAAAATTAAAAAATAATCCGTAAAATTGGTGTACTATGAAACCCTTGCATATAATATATATACTAATCTTAGTATTACAGAAATAAATTACGTAAAACATAAGGTGTACGAATACGTAAAATTTATTTATCCCTCGTAAAACATCAGTAAAATATATTATAAATTGTTTTCATTCACAAATATTAATTTCTTAAAAATCTAACAGAGGCGCCACTTTCCAGACGAAAAATCTTGCAGTGTAAGGGTTTCGTAGTACCCCACTTTTAAAGTTTATTTTTGACTATTTTTAAAATAAAAAAATATATATGTGTAGGTAAAGGTTAAATCTATGCTCCTCTGGAACCACTTTTTCAAAATTCAATTTAGTTTTTTCTAAAAAAAATTGAGAAAATAGGTAAAAAAAGTCGAGTTTTGTATTTTTTTTTAGAAAAAACAATTTCAAATTTTAAAAAAGTGTTTCCAGAGGAGCATAGATTTATCCTTTACCTACACGTACATATTTTTTTCTTTCAGAATAAGTCAAAAATAAACTTTAAAAGTGGGGTACTACGAAACCCTTGCATGCTCCGCTCTACAGCCAAGTAAATACTCCTCTTAAGACAGAGTAAAGTTATAAAAAGGATGTACCTACACCACGAAAAGAAGTTCGTAAAAAATATCTACGAATTGACTTTGGTTGTATTATACCTTGCATGTCTAATTCATTGTAGTAAAATAGAAAGGGTACGCGTTTAGATTTCTGTACCTGTATTTCTGTTAGACACTGCTTAATTTCTATCATTATTGGAAGTGCGATTTTTGTCATTTACTTGAGTGTGACCGTAGAAAAAACATATAGTTATTGCACAGGGAATAAGGCTATGCAATGCTAGTCTCTTTATTGTTCTACGCTTTTTATAAAGTTAGGGTACATGTGGGGTACATGTAAATTGCAATATTTTTCGCATCGAAAAAGTCGTAATTTAGGGTCCACTACAAAATAGGGGCATTGTATAAAGAACTGTTCCTTATAAAATGATAGAGGTATATATGTTATTTGATGACGAAATTACACCTTATTACATGACCTTATTAATAAATATAGATATATTAAGTATTTGTGTTTTTATAACATCAATAATTTTTATAAATATCAGTGTTACTAGTTTTAAAATAAATTATTAAAATGAATAATAGTGTTTTACTTATTTTAAGAGCCATATGGTTCCAGCAAGAGACAGATACTGACAAATTCAATTACAATTATGGATGTGAGAGATTAGCAATTTCTTTCATGTTTTTTTATTTTAATTCAAATTAAAACTTTCACATGCTGATAAAATTAAATGCCTCAAGTCCTAAGTAAAGGCGCGTTTCTGCGCCTAAGATATTATCCACATCTGATTAGAAGATTAAGGGTGAGATTACAGAACGTCTGCAACTTTGCAGATCTGCAAATATGGCGGCAACTTTGCAGATCTGCAAATATGGCGGACTTTACACATTACACTTTTACAATTTGTTTTTTGTCATCTTCCACCGAAAAAAAATCCACACTACAGCCGAACGTCAATTCATAATGAACAATAATTTAATTAATGTTATTATGTAAACAACAGCACGCTCTAGGTTCAATACAATAACGATTGATATTAGCTTTGTTCGCGGTAACAATCCTGAACTGATTCAGTATTACTAATTCATACGTTGAGTGCATGCCCGATTCATTATCAATTCTGAATGTTTACAACGCGCGCAATCCCTATTATATCTCGGTGTTCCAGGTATAGACAAGCGGTTTAAAACCAATAATAATTTTACCGAGAACGCAGGATAGAACCAATAGTTCAGTTCTTTTTGTTCCGCGAACGCTTTTTAACTACTGCGCGTGCGAAATCGTTACTATTAGTAATAATTCGGTTCAGGATTCTTACCGCGAACAAAGCTATTATATATTATGCTTCTGCTATTCACCAGATTCAGGGATTCCCCTACACCCTACAGAATATGCGCCAAGCGTCAACAATATTCTCTCATAAAATTTAGAGTCGTTGGAATAGCTGGTAATGGGAATAGGTATTTGGAATAGGTATCTACTTGGAACAGGTACAAGTGGTACTAGATACGTTAAAAAGTTATTCCGTAACAGCCGTAACACGTACGACAATGGACGAAGAGTATTTTAATCTTTGGAATAGTCTTGTGCCTTTAGTTAGTTTTAATAAGTTCCCTTCCAAATGTTCCTGGGGCGTTTTTTTTTCGGTTCTAGGCCGAAAAGGGTGAGACGCCTCCTAGCAAGAGCTTCGCATTCGAAGATCACATGGTATGAGGTACGGATTCCACACGTTGTCGTAATCCCATCACAAGAATAAGGTGTTTCAGCAAGCAGTGTCCCTTTATAGTAATCTAACAATGGTGTTTATCTGAGGCATTTCGAGTTGTAGTACCTCAATATATCCATACGTGGGTTTGGTCCCCTTAGCATGAGCTTACTGATTATGTGCCCTCTTATATCTGTTGCCGCAGGAGGATTTCAATCATTTCCAATATTTGTTTGCAAGGAATCGTGAAGAAAGGATCAAATGAAGAGTAATAATTGTATACAAAAGATGTTTCTAAGCCATAAGGTTGTATATCAGTTAAAAAAATAATCCTTCGAAAATTCGAGGTCGAAAAATCATGATTCCTATACTTTCCTTATCTGTATACAGATAGGAAATTAAAAATTAAGTTATTTAACGTGTCGTCTACTTGTATTTTACATTTTAATTAATTTTACCAACTTTTATAACTTTGTGTAACTGTGTTAATTGGGATTCCCGTAGATGCAACCAATCAGAATAATGTTTCCTAATTTTTATTAGGGTTAAATGGTAAATACATTAATTCTTTGTAATAATATATTACTTATCTTATTTATAACTATATGTAGGTATATTTGTTTTATTTGTATATATTTATCACGATATTTATCAGTGGCGGCTTATTGTGGCATTGTAGAATGCATTGTATTTTTAAAACACTAATAGGTATTTAGCATAGAGCACTAAAATTAAACAGATAATTCGGAAAATCCATAGGGTAGGTACTCAGCTGGAAAAAATTATCAAGTAGAATCAAAACCGTAAGTTGTTCGATCCGCACGCACAGACGACCAGATGAGATTTTGCGTTTTTAGACTTAAGTGTGGTCGCAAACGTAAAGAAAAGTGTTAAAAAATGGCGTTAACAAATGCAGTACTTAGGCTTCATCGATAGGAGGCCCCAGTAATTTGGATTTGTGACCATTAATTTAATATTTTACGGTTTGAGAATTTTTTTTAAATTATTTGTAGTAGGAGCCACCCCGTATAGTTCTTAAATTACGTAATGTTTTCTGATTGGCCGGACCTTATCTACAAACATCAGCTGATTATTTAATTTTGCATGGTTGGCATTCGTGAACTAGGTGTCAACACTCAACAGTTATGACATTTAGTAAATGCGTCACCCGCTGGTTGTTTGTGTACGAATTTTGACGTTTAGTTTTAAAATGTGAATTAAAATACTAAAAAAAGCTTTTTACGAAATGTTTTTTTTATTGCTTCTTATCAGTTCTTTGAGTTTTATTTCATGTTCCAACAGTGACATTCCTTCTTTACCGTACTGTCCAGAGACTGAGTTAGGGTAAGTGAGGTTAGAGATTTTGTATAATTTTATTATTTATTTTGGTTTTTTTTAGTTTGTTGATAGTCAGTACTTTAAATGGGAAAATATCAGCTCTAAATTCAAGTGGATCTTTAGTTTGGGAAGTGAATACTGGCCCTGGGCCTCTTCTTTTGTCAAATATTCATAACCTAGAAGTAAGTGTATTATGCCCTTTTATACATGTTGTAACCTGTTTCAGTAGGACGATATTTTTATGTTTAAACGATTTAACCGGTTGATAAATAAATACATTAAAAATAGTAACAAAAAACGTTAATCTTCAATTTTTAAACAGATGTATTTTGCAAAATAAACAAAATTTTATCAATATTTGAGCAGCTGTAATTTAATAAAATATGTTGTGGTTTATGGAAGAGAGACAAACTTCTGTTTTTAAAATTTCTTGTAGCTCACAAATAGTGGAGAATGGATTCGTATAATACCTTCTCTGGCAGGGACTTTATATAAATTTGATGGCAACACAATAGACCCAATACCAATAACTACTGAAGAATTACTAAAAGCTTCTTTTCGGTACTCAGATGATCTTGTAATTGCAGGTGAATATTTACTTAATAGCTAAAGCATTTCAAGTTTTTATATAAGTTTCCAGATCATTTCATAATATGTGTACAATACATTTTTTTTACAATTTCCAACCATTTTTAGTATCTTTATTTCTATAGGTGGAATAGAAGTTAGGACATATGGAGTAGGTTTCAGAACAGGGCAGTTTAAGTATGAATGTAATTCTATAAAATGCTCTAACACAGAAGAAGGAAATGATGGTGATGATGTTCTTGTGATAGAGAGAAGTACACATACAATTAGAGCTGTTGAGCCAAGAACTGGCAGTGAGAGGTAAAACTTTACAAATTTGTTTTTAATTTTAAAATACAGAATAATTCAAAAACAAAAAGGTTTCAAAGCTTATTATTCTTGGATTTGCAGATAGAATATTTCTGACTTCATTTTTTGAAGTTGAGTAAATTTGATATTCCCATTTTATATTAAAGTTACAATGTTGACATTAACTGCAACCTGACACCTATATCATAAACCTTTGACATTTTGTTGCCGACTGCATTCTTTGAAAAGTATGTATGTACCTTATTTCTATAAAACAGTGATATTTTTGTAAATATCATATCCAGGGTAGAGTCTCAAGATCAACATTTGACAGAAACTTGTGATGATATTTCTGATTTTTTTCATAGAAACTTCAGTTGGTAATTCATGTTGATGGTAATGGGTGGGGGTTTCCTCACTTGTAAGTCACCACTCAAGATAGCAACAGCAAATAATAATAGCCATTGCTCTCCAACATATGTTTTCTGAGTTTCACTCATAAGGGGATGAAAAATGATAAAGAGGTTATTATATTAATAATATACCAGAAAAATTTAACATGGTATAAATAGGAAGCTTTGTTGCCATTCTATCTAACTATATCTCAAAATATTAAAACTTTATTAAAATTAAAATATTACTAAAATTTAACTGATTAAAATACAAAAATAATACATATAGTGTAGTTCACAAGCAGATTAATTAATTTTTTATTGGTCTTTTAATAGAAAATAAATATTTTTTGAAACAGATCTTCCTCAAATGAATTTCAATCTAAAATCTGTATCTTATTGTTATGAAAGTAAATTTTATCAATTAAATTGTATAATATAATTGTTCATCAATTTATAACAGATAAGGAAAATACACAAATTGTTGGATTTGGTTAAAATAAATTTTTTATCTTGTGTCCTGTAGGAGCTTTGACTATACTATTGAGCATAAAAAACAATTTCCTTAAACTATTTATTATTTTTGTTAATATAAATTTTGGTTGAAAACATTTCTATATTAAAAATTCATTCCCTATTTAAGGTGGAACTTTAGCGTAGGTTTGCATAACATCAAGCTTTCGAAGATAAGTTGTATTAATCTCAATTCTGAGCTGTTTGACTGGAACGTATCCGCCATTTTACCAGAAGGTAAATTGAGAGCTTCAGTTGTCCACAATAATGTGGAAGAATCTTGGAATTATATTTTCGATTCCCCCATAGTAAAAATATGGAGATGGTCCGGCAAAAATTTGTCAGAAATTGATTTATTTGCCCCTCGAAATGTACCCCAAGTTGTCACTACCGGTACATCACTTTTGCCATCCATTTATCTAGGAATGCACAATAAACAGGTATAATATAAAAAAATATTATATATCAATATATCTAAATAATTTAAGAATATTAGAAACAATGTAATATCTTTATTTGTATACTAACATTTTTTATTTTTCCGTGACTCATTGTCATTATCTTATCTCTACCATTGCATTAATACCTACATTTTTTACTATTAATAGCCATTCAAAAAATGCCTGTAAAACTATTTCAACTGTTACTTAATAGCTCTAAATAAAAACAATAGAAGGCTAAAAATATTTACATTAATTTTCAAAAATTATTATAAATGAACCTTTTAATAGAGGATTACTTTAATATGTAAAGGACTAGCTTAAATATTTTTAAAAGGATGGATTATTTTTCAATCCAGTATTTGCATTTAAAAATATATTATGAGTCATGAGGTTTAGTGGACCAACTTTTTTTAATATATAATTGAGCTGATTAGAAACAATAAAAATTATTGTTTATATTTCATTACAATATTTGCAGTAAAAAATATCCTAGTAGATACCACCTTTTTTTAATAATTTAAATCATAGTGCTTTTATTTTTAAAGAACGTATGATAATATACATGTTTTTTTATTGTTGTAAAATTTTTTTATTTTAATAAGATTTCTATGTAAGTATTGATTTTAGCTATATATTCATGAATCTTCATTTATGCAACATGCTATACGAAGAAAAACACATACAGATTTAGCAGTAACTGAAAGTACCAGCATTGCCAAAATACCCTGGAAGCCTATTCCAGCTTCTACTGAAAGCTCTGAAGAGGATTCTACTGCCTTATCAGTTTTAAATGCTTCCGAATACGTCAATGGTAAGAACATATACAATTTGAAAACTAACAAATTAATTTAACTTATCTTTTTAGGACAAGGATTTTACTTATACTCAGAAACAGATTTAAAAGAAAATGATAAACAGCTTTGCGATAAAAATGACAGTTTCATTGAAGGAGGTACTTTACCTCCTGCTAAAAATACAAAAACTGAATCTTTGTACTACCTTTTAGTACCTTGGTATTGGAAAGAACTGATACTTATGGTATTCACCCTCTTTATTGGATACTTTTTATTCAGAATAAGGCACAACAGACTGCAAGAAGTAATAATAATAGAGAAGCCAGTTGAAGTTAATTCTGTCAGCACTGAGCGCAGAGTGTCAGAGAGAGATAGTGAAATATTTACTTCTAGATATATAAACGATTTTGATACTCTCCGTTGCCTGGGTAAAGGTGGATTTGGAGTTGTTTTTGAAGTTAAACAAAAAATTGACGAATGTCATTATGCTATAAAAAGAATCACTTTACCTGATGAGTAAGATTTTCTTAATTTTCTACACACTTTTCTTTACACATTCTCATTTTTAGGGATAAAGACAGAGATAGAGTAATGAGAGAAGTTAAAGCTTTAGCTAAATTGGAACATCAAAATATTGTAAGATATTTCTGTTCATGGGTCGAAAAACCACCATTAGGTTGGCAGCAAGAACATGATAGAAAGTGGTTAGGGTATGCATTTAGTATAGATAATAATTTTTTTTTTATATAAAAATTCCAATTTTTGTAGGGATAAATTAACCTTTGAACAAACATTTACTTCTACTTCAGAATTAAAGATGAAAAGAGGCAAATCAGTATCAATAAGTATTGAAGAATTAGGACCAAGAACTTTTGATCCAGAGATACCAAACATAGTTCAAGAAGCTGATGACGATGATGCTGATGATTCTTTTATCGTTTTCGAACATGATTCCAAGTCCTCTTCAGCAGTCACTTCTAATGAACAGTCATCTCAAAAAGCAGAAGCTTCTGTATATGCGGCAAAAGAGGTTTCTTACGCTGAGCATTTAAGAAAGAAGATTGACTGGAAACGCCCAGATAGAAAACACCATTCTTGGGACGTCTCCCAAACTAATTTAATTACTTTAGATACTTATTCATCCCCAGTATTTTTGTATATTCAGATGCAGCTGTGTCAGAAAGAGAGTCTAAAAGAGTGGCTCAGTACTCATCATGAGAGAGATTATAATTTCGTTAAAGACATTTTTTATCAAATATTAGAGGCTGTGGAGTATGTTCACTTAAGGGGTCTTATTCACAGGGATTTAAAGGTAATAATGGCTTAAACAACTTTATTGCAAGTTATAAAATAATTTTTTTTTTTTAGCCAAGCAATATATTTTTTTCTTTAGAAGGTCAAGTAAAAGTAGGAGATTTTGGACTGGTTAAAGATATGGAAGATGCATTTGACTTAGAATTGATAAAAAAGGGTTCATCACCTTCTTATAGGGGTCATACTATTGAAGTTGGTATGTAAACATTAACATGTGATTCACAAAAAAAAATGTTTCTAAAATAGGTCATGACCGTTAGCAACTGTATCTTAGAATATCTTAAAAAACGCAAAAACAGGTTGATTTTTATTTCAAGAGGGATACCCAAGTAAGATTTTTAAGAGAATAAAGTTTTATGTTTTATTAGGATTTTGTAAAAGCATAAAAATTAATAATTATTTTATTACAGTTATTTTTTTTGCTAATTGGACTGTAGGATAAATTGATCTTATTACTTGGTTTTATAGATTCCTTTAAATCTGTTTAAGAAAACTAGTTTATTCTAAAGTACCTTTATATCATATCCTCAATTCTTATCTGTCATTCCTCTCCCCTCTGTCACTTTAACCAATACAATTTAAATAGGGAAAGTACCAAATACGTTTGATTTTAGCTCCCTCTAACGAGATACAAAACTATTACGTTTTATAAAAGGTGACGCTTCATTTGAATGCTAATTTTATTATTAATTCAGTGCACTACATAATATTATTTTGATTAATGGCATGTGGTGCATTGGATTACTAATAAAATTAGCTTTCACATGAAGTGTCACACTTTACAATCAAAGTAACGCAATTAACAGTTATATTGCTAAATATTCCATAAAATTACCTTTTCGATATGTCATACTTGGCATGATAGTTGATATAATACGTATTTTGAGATACGGCCGCTAACATCCCTTAAACATTATAAATCCATTATCTACTTTAAAGTTCAGATTATTTTTCTTTGGCTTTATTATTAGGTATAACATAATGTTTTTAAGCAACCAGAAAAATAAAAGTTACGTAGATCGTTTTTAAAAAAATAAATAGGTACATCATCTACCTATATAAGCTAATATAAATAATTTTAAAATTGAATGGTCGGCTATAACAACGTTATAACTGACTGAGTCATACTTTGTGTAAAATGGAGAAAAACGTTATAAACCGGTTTTTATTTGCATTATTTTTTTATTTATTTAGCTGATGGTTCATAACAAAAACCTATATGGATCATTTAACTATCTCATGATAAGAGTATGCGAACGTTCACATAAAACGTTGTTCCATGGAAACCCAACATATCGTAAATTTGTTATTTATAACGTTGTTATGGCCGACCCAAAAATTGTACACTAATTCTGAGTACAACTTTGGGTACCGCGTTCCAATGCAATCTCTAACACTCTGTACTTGAGAAAAAATATATAAGACCGTCAGTCCACATGGACTTGATTGACACACTTCTTGAACGACCAATCAACAAATCGGAAAACAGACTGAGCCAATGGGAAAGCATAACCCAATAGTGACGTTTTAAAGAGACCAGACTACTGTCGGTGTGTTTGACTAGATCATCAGGGGTTTTAAGAGAATAAAAAATAATTTAGGTAGGTATAAATATAACCAAAGATTCTCTTTGGTATAACACTGTTACATCAATTTTGCGTGCTGCACGTTAAACAGTTATTACATAGGAAATCATAGAACATGAAAACGTAATATGGAAGTGTTAGCCGATACTTTCAGAACACAAATCATCTAATGAGAGCATCGGGCAATCGTAGAGGATATTATCGATGGTCTCATCTTCTTGTTCGCGCCCCCTGCAGAGTGCGAATTCTGACAACCTCATGATATGGAGATGCTTCCGTTCTTGGCAATGACCAGTCAGAATGCCTGTGATCAGGCGTAGATTCTGTGTAGTCGTATGTTTGTTGTAGTGTTGGCAAGATAACTTAAAAGCTCCTTGGCAACTTTGCAGTTTCTTTTTTCATCCAATATTTCCTTGAATTTCACAAGGAAATGTTCTTTGATTAGGTCTGTCACTACCGATGTTGTCAGTTCAATAGAATGGCCATGTCCAAAAAGTATTTGGTTGGCTGCCTTTTTGTCTAGTGAATCGGTAAGAAGGTTACCTTTCTATGTGACGTGACCTTTGATCCATCTTAAAATTACCACATTGTTGAATCTGGAGTATATTCCTGAGCCTTGTTTTGTTTTAGTACCGTCTGTGTAGATTTGAATCGTACCTGCTACTTCCAGCTCTTCTATTTGTTCTGTTATAACTTTATATGGCTTATGGAAGATATATCTCGGTCAGATGGAGTTTATGTTCGCTTGAAGCGCAGTGGGAGCGTATCGAGCGCCTCCTGCCAAAAGTGACGTCTCGCCTCACCAGATCCTACATCAGGTTCTATTGTAACTATGTGGAAGAGTGTCATTGTCATCAAAGCAATCTCATTGATGTAAATATCAAGGGGAGTGACACTAAGAATGACTTCCATGGCTCTGGTTGGTGTGGTTTTTATGGCTCCTGTTATGTTGAATTTACGGATAGATGTCAATTTTTGGGTTTTAGGTACCCAGACAACGTAGATATTATGAAATTTGTTGCTCTTTCAAAAGCGTGTCAATACACGGTCTCCTTAAGAAACCCCACAAAAAAGTCATTATGGGATAAATGTGGTGATCTTGGAGGCCACTTTGAGATTAAATGGTCTCTAAAGGTATGTTTGAAAAATTCTGTCACTCTTTGTGAATTGTCACTTGGACAACCGTCTTGTTGAAACAAAACTTCTCCAAAATTAACAGGAAGTTGCGAACAGCGGGAACAATCTGTTCTTGAAGTAGCTCTATATATTTTATGATACCGTCAAAAAAAAATGGTCATCAAAAATTTCCATCCAAACATTACACTTTTGTGGACGTTGAGTACGCACAGGAATACTCTGGTGCTCATTTTCCCGAAACCAATATCGTGCAACGAATGGATTATGTTTTCTATGCAATTGAAAAGTCGATTCATCTGTAAGTAAAATGTGTTTTAAAAATATCTGGATTTTTATTGAGTCTCACAAAATTTCATCCATTGAATACTATCCTTTGGAGTTTCTAAGTTGTTTGGAGTTTATAACAACAGTAACCATTTCTTTTTAAAATATTCCGAACACTCTTTTCATTTATGTTAACTTATTTTGCAATTTTAGTACTAGAACAAGGTTCGCTGGTTTCAACAGCGGCACAGACATACATTTTCCTATTTCACGCTCCACATTAACTGGTGGTTTTACCGTGATTCTTCGTCGACATTACTGCATTTTCGGCATTTCTGTATACATCCACATTTCTTAGACTTTTGAATAATCTGAACAACTGTGGAATGGGTCGGTTTTCAGATGCAGCAATAAAGAGATTTATCATGTCTTACTAAGTAACCTCCAACATACCATTTTAAAATCTGTATTTTTTCTTTGTATAGTTAATTGTAAATTGTAGCAATCTATTTTATTTTTAACCGAAAATTTATTCTTCATTTTCAGGTACTCAGTTGTATATGAGTCCAGAGCAATTCCATAGCCGTATTTATGATTACAAAGTCGACATATATTCGTTAGGATTAATATTTTTTGAACTGTTGGTCCCGTTTCACACTGAAATGGAAAGAAACAAAATGTTAAGCGACGTTAAGAAAAACATATACCCTTCGGGATTTACTGAAAAATTTCCAGACGAGGTAACAATTTTTTTCTTATCTTTTCCTGCATTTTAATATTTATTTGTAATAGGTTTATTATATTTTGTTTATTTTATAAATGCAGTCATATTAAATATTTTTTAGCATGTTATACTGCAGAATATGCTCTGTAAGGATCCTAATAAACGTCTGACAACTATTGGTATAAAGGCCAGGCCCCCATTTAACCGAGAAGATTCAGGATACAGTGAAGATTGCCATTATAGACTGCTTAATTTTCAAAAGAGTTGAATCTTGTTTTGTAATAAAGCTTTATTTTTATATAGGACTTTAGTCACGTGTATTAAATACCTTTTTAAGATACGGAACTGCAGGATTATATACGCTACAACGCTCTTACAACTATTGAGAGATAAAAATCAAGCATCCATTTTACAAATAAAATTCGACATTCATTGAAGATTGCGATTACAGAGCAGTTAACATCTACAAGAACTATATCGTGTTTTGTATATAAAGCTTTATTTTTTATAAGACTTGCGTTATGTATATATCATGTGTGTAACTGTGATATATAATGTAATTTTTTGTTTAAATTTTTAAGGTAATTTATTTAAGAATTGTTTACTCTTTTCATTTGTATAAGGGTTTTTATCCTAGCTTTTATTTTTAGTGAAAAAAAAAAGTTACATTCCTGTTTCGAATAATACAGTTATTGTTTACTTAAAATCGTATTTTATTGTCTAGTAACTGTAAAAAATACATAAGAATATAATAAAAATGTTTATTTTTCCAGAAGAAACAGCAATATACAACAAAAATTACAATATAATTGGGAAATAAGCTTGAATAATCACTGAAACATTAAGGCTGCTTGTGTGTTCTGTTTAAAAAATACATATATACCTTATAATAACTATTATAAAATATTTAAAATGCACAAATACCTTAAAAAAAAATATGTCACATTGGCAGTATAAGTATGAGTACAAATTATTAATATAAAATTGAAATGGAGGAAGATTAGTTTTTTGTATAATTTTTTTTTAACTTCGCCTATTTTTTACATTTTATCTATTTTCATTTATTTTGAATTTTTGACATGTAATTTAATGCTTATGGTACCAGAAAATTGAAACTTCATTGTCCAACTGATTCAAACATAAATAGAAATATAAAAGTTCCTTTTTGTCTGGTATTGGAATCATGTGCTTCGGTCAAAGAATGTCAGAAACTGTGCACTTCAGATCTGGAGAAAGAATCTAATAGTTTAGAGTCTATGCAGCTGATCATTTGGGTAAAGTAGGTCTTTATTTAGAACAATTCTTATGGATCTTCTTTTAATAACTTCTAGTGAATTCAGGTAAGCTGAAGGTACTACGCCAACCTATTATTCTATATCTGTGTAGCTATTCTTGAATTTGAGGGGATAGAAAAACGGTTTTTCCTATGTATTTACAAGGCACAAAGTTTGTATTTTTGTCTCATTCTTCCCTCAAAATTTCTATTCCTTGAGATTCAATAATAGATACCCTGATGTGAGATTCTATTAAACTTTCATATACAAATTTGTTTTGCTTAAAATATTAAAATTCAGATCTGTCTGAATCAATAAAGTATTGTTCATAGTTTTTTTTTTAAAGAAAATTGATATGAATATTTCACCTTAATAAATTGCTGTCAATAAAAATTCCTAAATATTTGACTTGATTGGAAGGGTGGATTTTTATCCTTTTTGTATAGGTAATTCAAATAATTGAAGAGATGATTGATGAAAAGCAAATGGTAGGTATAACATTTTTTTAAAGGTAATCGAAAATAGTTATAAGTGCTTTATTTCAGCTTTGTTTTTAAGACTAAACCAATTATCCTCATCCTAAAATATTACAGCATCGGTAAAACTTATTTTATTCTAATGAAAATAATAATACTCTCCCTAATTCACCTCCTTACGAGTGAATTTCAACTCCTGAAGTCGACTGAACGACTTATGCAGGTTAAGGGACGGATATTATTATTTGCCGTGGCGCTCCGGGGCGACTTAAAGATGATTGATGGTGCCATTTGACTTACAGGTGAGGACAACCTCACCCACCATCACAGATTGTTCAAATACATTATGAAATGTATTGGGCCTAATACCGTACATTGAGAGACACCAAATATAACTGTTTTATTTTCTATGGATTAAATAACTTTTAAACAGATTATGTGCAGCGTCTCTCACCCCTATTTTATAAATATAAATTTCTATATATATAAAAATAAATCCCTATTTCCCTTGGTCGCGGCATCACGCGTGAACGGCTGGACCGATTACGCAAATTCTTTTTTTGTTGTGTTTGTTATTATCAGGAGAAGGTTCTTATGAAAGCAAAAATTAAGAAAATTGCGCGGAAAATTAGAAAATTTCTATATACATAAAAATGAATCCCTATATTTCCCTTGGTTACGGCATCACGCGTGAACGGCTGGGCCGATTTCGCAAATTCTTTTTTGTTGTGTTTGTTATTGTCCAGAAGAAAAAACAAAGAATGTTGTATATCATAAAGCATTAGAATAATAAACCCTTTATTTCTGAAATATTTTTTTAGTTAATTATACCAATTCGAAATCAACATTCATAGTTAAGACAGGACAACGTCTGTCGGGTCCGCTAGTATATTTATATTTTTTGTCTTAAATTATGTAATTTTCATAAATAAATATCTCGTTAATAGACTTTTATTCATTTTATAAATTAAAAATATTAATTTCACAGCATTTTAGCTTTAAATCTTTTGAAAGGATAAAATGGCTGACAAAGTTTGCAAAGACGCCATCTATGTGCGAATAGTCAAAACAGATGGCCATCTATGTGCGAATAGTCAAAACAGATGGCGTTTGTAAATATAGGCAACCAACATTAGAAGTTGTGTATTCTGTGTTGCTTGATAAATACAAGACTAAAATGGGTTAAAGTTTTAAAACTTAAATAACTCCTAAATGGGTCAACATGCAGACGGTAAATAACACTCGAATCTATCTGCCTTACTCTAATTTCTGTAAATTTGGGGAATAATTCAATCATTATTGTCTAAGGAAATTGCAAAAATAATTAGAATTAATTTATCGTACTTTCAATTATTGTGCACACAAATTTGTATCAAGATCCGGATACAAAATTGCCTAAAATACGACTGTTTTTTTAAAATACCTCCTATCTACAGGTTACAATTTTGTTGATAACATTTTGGTATCAGGATAACGTAAGAGTTAGGCTGTATGAAAATTCGTCGAATTTGCATTACCCGAACGGTAATGGCCATTTGAATTAGAGGCTTAATTTATTTCGCGTTAGCATAAATTATACGGATAATGATTGTGGCATTTAATTTTCCGCTCTTTTTAAAATACTCATCGCTGTTCTGCTATCGTGATAACGAAATTGATACTCGAATATTTGTACCAGGATAACAGAAGTCTATTAGTAGTTATTCAAGTTAAAAAATCCGGGGATTTTGCGTTACCCTAAATGGTAATGAGAGTTTGATTAAAGAACTTAATTTTCCCGCACTGTTTAAAATACCTCCTCGCACTTCTATTATCCTAATACCAATATATATTTTATACTAGAAATTGAAACTTTTGTGATTTGGATTTTTGAATCGGGATAACAGACGAGCGAGGAGATATAGACAATTTTTATTTCTTCTCCGATCTTTATGAAATTAGGCAAAGCGTGATAGTAATTTAAAATGTATGGCTGGTGTCTGCTTCTCTCTATCTTCGATGCTTTTTGAGAAATTAGCCTCAACTTTTAAACTATTTTTCTTAGAAATGAAGTGACTATTTTTTAGAATGTAAACGTTGCCATTCTATACGTACGCCGATTTTAAAAATATTTTATTTTCATAAAAATGAGCCAAGGGTATAGCCTTCAAAATTTTTTGATAAAAATATTTTTCTTCTCTGATTTTGATGCCAATTTGGGTACATATAACAGAAAGTACGGCAAATTTCTAGGTGGACTCGGTTGCTTTCTATCTATAAGAATTTTGTTTTCGTTTTCCTGAGTTACTGGTTATTGCATTTATTTGTAGACTCACATAAACGTTTAACCGGGAAGATAGATAAAAGTTTACTTGAATCGTTTAGAAGTTATTCAAGTTAAAATAATCCGACGATTTTGCGTCACCCTAAATGATAATGGCATTTTTATTAAGGAACTTAATTTTCCCGCACTGTTTAAAATACCTCATCGCTGTTCTCTTATCCTAATACCAATATTTTATACTCGAAATTACAACGTTGGTGACTTGGATCTTTGCATCGGGATAACAGAAGATCGAGGAGGTATAGAACATTTTTATTTCTGCTCCGATCTTTATGAAATTGAGCAGAGCGTTAGAGTAATTTAAAATGTATGGCTGGTGTCTGCTTCTCTCTATCTTCGATACTTTTTCTAAATGAGTCACAACTTTTTTATTATTACTGTTAGAAAAAAACAGAGTATATTTTTGAGCTCCAGGGGTTGCATTCTATGCGTATGCAGATTATAAATTGTTTTTATTTTCTCAAAAAAATCGAAAAATCGGAGACAAAAATTTTTTTGTCTCCGATCTTGATGAAAATTGGGGTACATATAAAAGAAAGCAAGAGGAATTAAGGTGTGAACCCAGTTGCTCCCTAGCTATAAGAGTTAACTTTTTATAATTAATTCCTCCAGTTAATAACGATCGAATTATTCCATAAATTCACAGAGAGGTAGAGCCGGACGGATAGTTTAAAATGCCCCTTACCGCTTGCCTCTATCTTGCGCCGTTTAGTAGTTATTCACATTTAAAATAAAGTCAAATACCTTGTCGCGTTTCTGCTATCCTGGTACGAAAATTTTAAGACAAAATTGGATCTTTTCGAATTCGGAACTTTGTATCAGGATAATAGAAACACGAGGAGATATCGAACATTTTTATTTTTGCCACAACTTTTTTAATATTGCTGTTAAAAAAAAACTGAGTGTATTTCTGAGATCTACATGTGACCCTCTATTCGTGTGCAAATTTAAACAATTTTTTATTATTTCAAGAAAATCGAAAGGGTATAGCCTTCCAAATTTTTTGAAAAAAAATTTTTTTGTCTCCGTTCTTGATGAAAATTGGGGTACATATAAAAGAAAGCAAGAGGAATTAAGGGGTGAACTCAGTTGCTCCCTAGCTATAAGAGTTAACTTTTTTTTATTAATTTCTCAGTTAATAATGATCGAGTTATTGCATAAATTCACATAGAGGTAGAGCCGGACGGATAGTTTAAAATGCCCTTTACCGCTTGCCTCTATCTTGCGCCGTTTAGTAGTTATGCACATTTAAAATAAAGTCAAATACCTTGTCGCGTTTCTGCTATCCTGGTACGAAAATTTTAAGACAAAATTGGATCTTTTCGAATTCGGAACTTTGTATCAGGATAATAGAAACACGAGGAGATATCGAAAAATTTTATTTTTGCCACAACTTTTTTAATATTGCTGTTAAAAAAAACTGAGTGTATTTCTGAGATCTACATGTGACCCTCTATTCGTATGCAAATTTAAACAGTTTTTTATTTTCTCAAAAAAATCGAAAGGGTATA